GCTGGCTAACCGTCTTGAGCAATTGTCTCAAACGGACATTTCAAATTTATTAGACAATCATGAAAATTTCACATGACACATGACATTTCAAAAGATAATTGTCTGTTTGTATTCTCTTCAAGGTTGACCCGAGTTACCTCCACTAATACGACTTCAACTGAGCTAGAGATTCAAAGAAGATACCTGTTCAAGATCGTAGCCTTTACCGAAACCAAGTCTAGTGACTTCTTAACATAGGGCACTGGAGGACTATAAAAACGTTACAATGTGGTACTGATACGCTTTCTTTCGTGGCTCAGTAATCAGTAATCATAGCCTGGTAACCGTTTTGATTCTGTAATTAGAGATAATGGGACATTAGTTTTCATTTGGACGACGAATTCATTTTCGAAGTAATGAGAATGTTTCCGAATCAAGGATTCTGATGAGGAACTTCACCTCATATTATATCGCATAATCAAGAAACACATTCACTGGAGCCATGTCATAGAAAAAGTACATAGACGCTCTGAGATTTTCCAACGTCTTGCAATACCCTTCCAGTTTCCTCCTAGTTAGAAAAAAACCATTGCCTTGTCAGTTTCGAAAAATGAGTAGCGCATGATGTTTCCCAAAAATTATTTTTGGCAATCAATTCCTATATTGAATCAAACAAGGTGTTTTGAGCCAACCAAAATAGAATATATAATAACAGTCATTAATTGGTTGTCGATTCTGCAAAGTTAGCCTTGAAAAATCTACCGTTAAATTTGAGCATATTTTTTCTTTTAGCGTCCTAACTCTAATCACCAGTCTGCGATGCTCATAACGCGTAGATTCAGCTGAACTTCATAACCACTCTTAACAAACAAAATCTCGCACTATTTCCACTTCGATTCCCACTTTCAACCTCAAAGTGCAAGTGCACTTCGGTAGAAACAACGACAAAGGAACGAGAAAGAATAATTTATTTATTTCAAATAATAATTGGAAGAACTGTATCCTGCAGCTAATTGTGGCCCTAAAGAGGGCCGTTGGGTTAAGTTTATACAGCGAATGCTTGGCGCTTAAGCACGCTCTCCACGGATGCGACGAGCGAGCTGGATGTCCTTGGGCATGATTGTGACGCGCTTAGCGTGGATGGCGCAGAGGTTGGTGTCCTCGAAGAGACCGACGAGGTAGGCCTCCGAGGCCTCTTGCAGGGCCATCACAGCCGACGACTGGAAGCGCAGATCGGTCTTGAAGTCCTGGGCGATCTCGCGGACGAGGCGCTGGAACGGCAGCTTGCGGATGAGCAGCTCCGTCGACTTCTGGTAGCGACGGATCTCACGCAGGGCGACGGTTCCCGGACGGTAACGATGGGGCTTCTTGACTCCGCCAGTGGCCGGGGCCGACTTGCGAGCGGCCTTGGTGGCCAGCTGCTTGCGAGGGGCCTTTCCTCCGGTGGATTTGCGAGCGGTCTGCTTGGTACGAGCCATTGCTGAGTGTTCTGAGAGAACGGTAACGAGCCATGTCCGGTGACCTTATATATGCATCCCCGTGTCCAGGGCGGGGCCTCGCCCGTCAAGCGATAGTGTGGTGAATCGCGTAAGGGCAGGAGGTCACCCACTGACGAGCCCGCTTGTTAAAGTCCGAGCAGATCAGAATCGACTGACATAACAGTGGAAGGGAGACGTAATCTCGCCAAAATAGATTTTAAGAGGAAATAATCAGTTTGTCAGATATAATGGTATCTGAGTTTTGTCTCCACAGTGCTGTAGCAAATTACCATAGACACAGTTTGCAGTCTGTTGAGTTGGTGCTCTCTATGAATACACGTGCCCCCAAAAAATGTGCGCAATGTTTGGTGGTTACTAACTTTCTTGCTTTCACATCTTACCGATTTTAAGATTGTAGAGCGAGGGTCAGCTCAAATGTACAGTAGGTAGCAAACCATGGATTTTCCTTCATTACTGTAGGATTACTGTAGCACCTTCGAGAAGGATTTTAGGCCACTGAAAAAATATAAAAGGGAAAATATTAAAAGCTAAAAAGTTGAATATAGAAAATTTAAATATAAAAGAAATATTCTTCCCCAGAAAGAAAACTAAACAAGCCATTTTGTGCTGAGCTAAGCAAAGTCGCTGGTTCTCCTATGTATGTAATTTGCACTTTAGCATAATGCTTCCTTCAAAAGTTCAGATATACCGTAACAATTGTTTTTTGCAATGTTTGTCAGAAATGTACTTACACAATAAAAAAAACTTTAAAAATCGTAAAAAGTTGTGTAGTGAAATTAGCACGCCTGAAAACGTGGCTACGCAATTTTTTTTTGGAGATAACTTTGTTGGACGGTCTTTCCACAATGATTCTACATGATGGAATCTACCGAATCCTATAGTAATGAAGAGCGACCGGTGGTCCGTTCCATGCTCTAATTCTAACTTGAAGAGCTCTACACAATAACATCTAAGGATCGGCAGTAAACATCAAAGCAAAAGAGTTATTAACGATCAAACAGGTACACTCCTGGGGCATGCTGCATATTTAGTAGTAAAATTTGAAAAGTAACTCCTGTGAGAACAATTACGGGAGCTGTCGTACCTAACCAGATTTTGACAGATATCCGATATGCTTCACAATGATAAAAGATAGCACGATTTTGCGTACGATTTTGCCAATATTGTGCAGAAATTATTACTTAGGTTCAAATGATTGACTTGTGAATCATCCCTTGTATTCTTGTATCTTTACATGCCAACGCTCAATGCTGCAGGGTATTTCTATCCTGTCCAAACACTGCAAATAGATGCAATTAGTTTACGAGGGCTGAAGCTATAGAACGCGTCATTCCTTCAAATCCCTAACTCAGCATCCTTTTCTGCCATTTTTTATTTTTTGTTCTATTTTTTTCTCACACTATTTGCATCAATACCTCGAGCTCTTGACTGTTCATATTCACTTAATTAAGACATGAAATGTGCGCCCTACTTGAGCCTCAATAAACGTTACGGATGACAAGTCACAGCGTGTGATTGTTTTCAGAGGCTTACCGTGACCCAAGCCTGCCATAGAGGTCGCGAAAACAATTCTAACCTACTGCACCTGCCACATGAGAATGACAGCAAATGACGTAAGAATTCGTGATGTGCATGGTAGGCAGAAAGTGATGATGTAACGAAAAGTCCCAAAGATCCAATGCCAAGTGCATGACATGTGCGATAATTAGAAAGCATAGATTGTTTTGTAAAGAACAATGAACTGAACTGCGCTAGGATTGTAAGTGGGTGGTTGTCACAGAAGTAAGTAGAAATCAAGAAAAAAGCTAATGAGCTAAATATGATTGTGAGAAGAAAAAAAATAAATCGAAGCGGCATTCCGGAACCGATGTGTACCTGTGTGGAGAGCATGAAATGCAGATTTAACAACGCCTTTGAATTACGAGTTTTAGAAATCGCATGATAGCTTGAGAAAATCGTTATGTCTCTCAGTGGGACGGAGTTACGATGAGCATGATACATTGGAAAGGTTCAATTTACAGTATAGAGTCTTTCGAATCAAAACCTTCATTTGCCTCACAGGCAGTCCTAGCGAATCTCTTCAAGTCACGCGTTTAGATTTTCAGCCGAAAATACAATGATTTCTTGCAGCACTGAAACGAAGCTAACGAAACAAGACTCAAGCTGAAAAAGTGTAAAAACATAGACAAATAAATAACAGGTCTTCAGGTCACAAGTTGATTCGAAATTCACCAATTGCAAAACTGAAGTGTTTTTTATGATCATTCCAATCGACCTGTACTACTATTAGGTTGTTGCAAAAATAATGTCCGTTTTTCTAGGCGTATATTCCAAACGACTTTTCTCCTTCAAGCTTTCTTCTTCGACAGAGATTCTGCACATCATTGGAAAGCTTTCTTCATGCATTTTCTAACGGTGGTGAAATTAAGCTTTTATCTCATCTGTAAAATTTTCACCAGCATTTTGCACAGCCGCACTCTAAATCGAAATTTCATTGCTCCAACTTTCTTGGCCACAATTCAAGCGCAAATAAACGAATTCTTCTGAAAACATAGATACTGTGTAGGATGAATTTTACTTATTACATGTTT